TAATTACTCCTTACACTTCAAATAGACAAATCTGATTTTATAAGATTTTTTCATAAATTCTACATTGATCTACATAATGATTCATTTTTACCAAAACTGTCAAAAATCCAAATTTGTACTAAAACTGAATTTCTACATTTTGATTTAGTCGAATTTTAATTTTCTTATATTTTTTAATGAATCCAAATGGGAGGTACTTCCTTATTTACATTGTAAACTTAAAGTAAATGAACATATAAATACTGTAAAGACATTTACTTTAGATTCTGAGAGTCATTGTTTCGACCGATCGAAGCGGACTGTTAGCTAACCAACAAGGCACTTTCAGCCGACCGAAAGTGTACCATCAGCCGACCGACACTTAGACAAAATTTGAAATAACGGCTAGTTTGACCATAGAACCTTATGGGACCTTACCATATTGCCCCTAAACGGATTTATTCTTCAATGGGGCTATAAATACACAGTGTTTGGACATTGTGGGTAGGCAAGAGAGCCAACAGTTGAAAGACATCATTAGGCATTAAAGAGAGCTTTTGTTCTCACATTTTCTCTTCATCTCTCTCATTCATTTATATATTAATATTGAGAGATTTAACTAAGGATTCAAAGGGCTTTTGCTCTTGTTCGAATCTTTATAGAGCTTTTGCTCTACTCTACACTTGAGAAATTCTATTGAATTCATAAGAACTTTTATTCTTCACTTATATCATCTTTTCTCATTCATCTCATCATGGACTTGAGCTTCATTTGATTCATTTACTACTTTAGTCTTGTGAGCTTACACTTGTACATTTATCTTTGAGAGATCTCTTGTAGTACTTCACCGTTCTTCTTACAAACACTTATAAAGGGTTGGTTTGACCCATCGGGTTGGTGTGACCCAAAAGAAGACTAGGAGAAGGTTATTATCCTTGCAAGGAAGATAAACAAGGTCTTGCTTCATGTAAAGGTTTGCTCTCTACCAAGAAGAAGAAGCCATTGTGGATTGGGAAGTCTCAAGAGGAGTCTTGAGCCGAGGAGTAGAAGTTTTTGAACCTCGCTAAAATTGCCGAGTCATTGTTTGTAATTTCTCTTCCCTTATCTCTTTTACAATTGTGTCATTAATTGTTTACTTTCATATCTTGATTATTGCATAATTGTTTAAGTTGTTGATTAGAAATTGTAAATTTATAAATTGTGAAAATTGGCCATTAACTCTATTCACCCCTCCGAGTCAATTCTTGGGTAACATAAGTATTGCCCCACCCCCCCCCCCCCCCCCCTCCTTTGAGTTTCTAGGCCTGTCCCTGCTTGGAGTAGTACCAAGATGGGTGACCCCCTGGGAAGTCTCTAGTTCGGGGGAGCCAAAAACGGATAATATTGTATCGGGTAGGGTGAGAGTTGTTACATATGCAGTTAAGTAAAAAATGTGGACCTTGTACTCCAACCTAAGAGTCATTTGAGAAGTTTTAGCTCACATTACAATTGGACTACCGCCCTCCCCTCCCCCCACCCAACCCAAAAAAAAAAAAAAAAAAAAATCATAGTAGTCATCTTAATCATGTGTCACATATAAGTCGTCTTCCACTTTTGACATTGGAAGGTGCTCCAAAAGTTGAAATATCTAAAGGGTAACTTTTTATTTGGCTTGGGGTCATCAAGTCTAATTAAGATTGGGTAGTGTTTTGAGATTGAGGGAGGGAGGAAAATACACTCTGACTGGGGGATATGTGTTGGTCTAACTAATGTTAATTAATAATTACCATGTCAAGTTTCCTTACAATGCAGGCACTAGTTAAGCTTCTGTTGGTTTAAGTGAAGTAGAAGCCAAAGAACCTAAGATCCTCTAGTTCAGCAATGATAAGCCCCTTCCTATGTGTTTAGAAAACGGACTTTTTAATGCAAGAGGTCGCTTCTCAAGGTCAAAATATGAATGTGGTTTCGGAAGCTTTTCTAGTCAAATTTACATTTATAAAAACCACAACTACAACTAATGAAGTATAGCGAGTAGGGATCGTCCACAGGGATTATACGTGTTGGAATTTTACTTCGACTCTAGCGTATCAAGAGATTGCAAATGAGGGTTATTTGTTTGATTACACTAAGATGCAAAGAAATTAAAATGCAATTAAAATAAACTAGTGAGAGATAGGGATTTAAGAGATATGAAGGGAGGTCTTAGGGTGTTGGAATCACCACTTAGCTCATGTAATTAACCACTTGTTTTCCATTAATGGGGAATATATTCTTGCAATCTAGATGTGGCCACAAACATAAACACAATTTGCATGTAAAAGTGTGAACTATCTAATACAAGAATGAATTGTCTACCTAACCAACAAGTAAACTAAGTGTAGAACAACCCACTAAGACAAAAGTATAATCCATCAATTAATTAACAAATGGGTCTAATGAGAGCACACATCAATTTAGAGAATCATGGAATTTGCAATAATAAGTCATAGAATATCAAATCATGTATAGATTGTCTACCTACCTACAAACACGAATTAAATTATAGAACAATTAACCCATCAAGCATAAGTATAATCCATCAAATTAATTGACAAACCCATTTAATGAAAACTCATGCTTAGCCATCACTAAATCCTTAATTAATCACACATAGACATGCAACCAACATAGAGAATCTAGTGTAGAAATCAATTCTCAAATAATCGCACATAAGACAACATGTAATTAAAATAGAAAATTATAAGGAAGAATTAAATCAACAATCACAAGGCTAAGCACTAATCACAATAATATATATATATATATCCCCAAAAATAGAAATACAAGGGTTCAGATTACACAAGACTTAGGGCTCATCAAAACCCTAAGTGTAGATCTAACCAATCATGGAGGAGGTGGATGTAGTCATGAAACCCTCAAGGGCAAGCTCCAAACATAGCTCCATCTTCTTTTTCTTTTTCTTTGAAGCTTTAGAGAGAGAGAGAGTATGTGGATCTAGAGATGGGTTCTTGAGATGTGCCTCCACTTCCCTCTTTTCTTCTAACCCTAATCTCTAACTTTCTAGAGAGAGAAAACTACAACAATATAGAAATTACATTGTAAAAATATGGATCTCCCTACAAGAATGGTTAAATCTCTCTTATATACAAGGCTTTGAGAGCCTAAAGATGTGAGAACTCGGCCCTAAAGTCTCCCCTTTCAAGCACAGCCCAAGTTGGTTTGAAATGAGCTTTAGATTTGCTTTTTAATAACTTTTGCGAACAGTTCGATCGATCCAACTTTTCTTCGATCGATTAGAGTTGGTTCGATCGATCAGACTTTTCTTCGATCGATCAGATTTGACAGATTTTCAGCATCAGCCTCTTTTTGCTCCAGATCAGTTTCACTAAGACTTGGTTTGACTCTAAAAAGGCCTTAAGAAGCCATTTTTAGCTCGTTTTAACTTTATTGATCTAAAAAAGGAAATAACACGAAATTAGTCTAAAACGGGAAAATAAATTAGATAAAGGTCCTAAAAACACTCAAGTTTAAAGGGTTTAAAAGTGCACTTTTCAGTTCTTATCAAGCAGCACGTTGACATTCTCTGAATTTAGTGATGGTTGATGTTTATTTCCTACTATCACCTTTGTTTTCCCTAGGGTGTAGTAAAACATTGAAGTATCCTAGTAGAATCCAAGGGGAATTGGAAAATACAGAGGAGTGATGAATGATGTCAATCCATAAATCCTTTCTATCAGAGGTATCATTGCTTCCATAAATGAAAAAGACAATAATAGTTCCAACCCCTCCTCTCCTTTTTTAGGATGGAGATGTTATACCTTTGGGCTAGAAGCCCTTTGGTACTTCACTCCTTTCTTCATTTTTAATTTCTCATATACATAATAAAATTCTTTTAAATTTTAAAATTGGGCTTCCTAATTGGACTCTCATATTAAACTTGCCATCTATTAGAGTTTTTTGTCCGACATTAGATTTGAATGGGAAATGTCATAGATATATATATGGGTGGGTATGCAAAACTACTTAACAACTTAAACTTTTGGATCAGAGGGCAAACGCTCGACTCGTTATAAGTGGTATCAAAACTGGACCCAGTCCTTGATCAATCCGGTATCAACCCAAGCGCCCGTTCCACCAGCAAAATAAGCAAGGCATGTTGGTCTGACCATAGATTCTTGTCTCATATTGGATCAGGATGAAAAATATCATGAATATTATATGGGTGGGTATTCAACAATACCCAACAACTCATTCCCGACCCAATTGTTAATTTTGTCCTACCTAAAAACGTACTTTCCAAAATATTCCTTGATTTCCTTTGTATATTTACCCTTCTGTATTGTTATTACTAATTGATTTTTTTTTTTTTTTTTTGAAAATAGTCCCAATTAATATACCTCAAGTACTATTTTTTATTCAAATTTGATTTTATTAACATAAAACATATAAAATACAAAAAATATAAAAATTAATATAAAACATTTTCATTTAAACTTGACACCTACAAAATTCTTTTAATGGCTGGGCTATCATGCTTATCTTCAATAATATGTACACTTCAAACTATATTCAGTTCTACAATATGTCTACTTAAACTTAGTAAAAACATTGTAAAATAAGATGATTTAAAAATGAGTAGAGCTTTTGAAATACATCGAATGGCTGAAAAACTTCAATAATTGGCCAAATGTTAATATCGATTGTTTGGTTCTACTCATCAATAATTTTTCTTTAAAAAGTCCTTAAAATTAAATGCATCAGCAAATATGGGCCAAAATTATATTAAATGTGTGACCCAATTAAGGCCATGTTTTTGGTTCAAAGTCAACATAAGGATTTAATCCAGATATATTTATGCACGAAAATATATATATATATATATATATATATATATATATGTAGTGAATTAGTTAGATAGCTACCTCGTGCCATCTAACATTCACATGCGTACAAATGAATGCCACCTACCACCGCCTCATGATCCGTACCTTATCTGTTACATCTATGTATTTGAAAGTCTGAATTTAGGTACCCATTAATTATACCTACCACTGCAACTCCTTTATATAAGTTCTACATATTTTCTCTTTCACAAATATGACCACTATGGCCTTAATTCTATACACACTAGTCATTGGGTTCATCCTATATTTCCTGGTTAAGTACCTTATTACAACCCTACTAAACCCACACAAGCAGCACTTGCCACTACCACCTGGTCCGAGACCATGGCCGGTCATCGGAAACCTGCCCCACCTCGGCACCATGCCGCACCACTCCATCGCCGCCATGGCTCGAACGTACGGGCCGCTCATGCACCTCCGGCTAGGGTTCGTGGACGTGGTGGTGGCCGCGTCTGCTTCTGTGGCAGCGCAGTTCTTGAAGAGCCATGATGCTAATTTCTCGAGCCGGCCGCCCAACTCCGGCGCCAAGCATATTGCTTACAACTATCGGGACCTTGTGTTCGCGCCCTACGGTCCGCGGTGGCGCATGCTGAGGAAGATATGCTCTGTCCACCTCTTCTCCACCAAGGCTTTGGATGACTTCCGTCACGTGCGCCAGGTAGTTACTCTTTTTTGACTTTTTTTTATTATTATTTTTAAGAAGCCAAAAAAGAAAAAGACAAAAAAGTCACACACACACACACACATATATATATATATGTCCATGCCTTTTTATATAGATTTATATAAAACTATTTATAGGGGTGCATCCAGTGAGTCTAGTGAACAGAAAATGATACAAGAGGCGACAACTTTGAACAACATATCATCATAAAAGGAGTAAGGGTCATTTTAAAATTTTCACAAAAATTGTAGGTAATTTAAAATGTTTATGGAGTGGTGAGCTACAATTAGGTATATTTTAATGTATCATAAAAAAAACAAGTGGTATGTAAGGATAAAGATGGAGTGTGACTATAGTCTTCCATCCCCTCTATACATATACTCTTTTCGTCCTAAATTTTTTTGGGAGTGTTTTGAAAATTTTAACTTTTTATAATAGAGGAGTTTTAATATTTTTTATTGTATTAATAAGACTAAATTTATAAAATTATCCTTGCTAAAAAATAAAAAATAAAAAATATTTCGTAATTAGCGTATAAGTTAATACCAAAAAAATAATTTAGATATATTATAAAAATAGTACATTTATTTTTAAAATGAGACATATATTTTGTGATATCTAAAATTGAAAGATGGATAAAAAAATTTTGGGACAAAGAAAATATATATATATAGTATATAATAAAAAAATGATTTTTTATTTATTGGCGAATAAAAAATTTCTTCACACCAAAAATGGAGATTGTTTAATACAATTTAAGTACAAAAATTATAATTATTTAACCATCACCATACTTGGTGTGAATTTTTATTTTTGGTGATCCAAAAAAAAGATCACACGTGGTTAAATATTTTATTTATAAATTAAGAGTCTTGTGGTCCAATATTATCTCCTTTACTTTTTAAAGTGAATGGTGATAATTTGAGTCTCCAAAAGAGTCAAGTGAGTGTGTGAGTGTGGTGTGAATTTTTATTTTTGGTGATCCAAAAAAAAGATCACACGTGGTTAAATATTTTATTTATAAATTAAGAGTCTTGTGGTCCAATATTATCTCCTTTACTTTTTAAAGTGAATGGTGATAATTTGAGTCTCTAAAAGAGTCAAGTGAGTGTGTGAGTGTGGTGTGTATGAATTTTTTACTAATGACAATATATATATATATATATATATATATATATATATTGTTTAAAAATAATGATAGGGGGAAATATCTATCTTTTTCTATGTACTCGGTTCATCTCAGTCCACGTGCAAGTTTTGATGGTCTTAATGCAGACAATTAAAGACCGATACACAGTACTAATTATATATATATATATATATATATATATATATTGTTTATAAATAATGATCGGTGGAAATATTTATCTTTTTTTATGTACTCGGTTCATCTCAGTCCACGGCAATTAAAGACCGATACACAGTACTCATTCCGTACCAATTTACTTATTCATCTTTCTTTTTGAGTTATTTCAAATTATCCGTCCAAATTGTATATTTCAAATCTTTTCACAAAATAGTCTTATACTTTAAAAAAAATTCAAACTTAATTTTATATATATATATATATATATATATATTCCAACTCAAGATGGCATGTTACTAATTTTAAAAAGAAACAATGTAATAATTACATGTAAAAGAAACATTGCAATAGTTGCATGTGCAACAAAAACAAAATTTATTTATTTACAAATAAAAAATTATTTAAAAAAAAATGAAGATTTTCTTAACCTTTTTATTTAATTTTTAATTTTTAATTTTTTTTACATCAGACAAGTAAAATAAATGTTCAAGTAAAGACACACCTAATATATATATTTAGATAATTTAATTTTGATTTTATAAAAGTTAAAGTAAGCACTGGTGCTCTCAAACGCTGAAAAACTCCAAATGAAAAGGAGAGTTTATAGGAGGAGCTTATTGATAAGGATTTTAGAGATTTAAGAATAAATAAACAAATTAAAAATATTCAGTTTTATTATTTGGTAGTTAATAAAGAAAATTTATAATATTGTTAGAATATATATATATATATATATATATATTTTTTTTTTCTTCCCATTTTAGATACTAACATTTTTCTTCTTTAACAATAACCTCCATGGTTCAACGTGCAGGATGAGGTGGCAGTACTGACGCGCGGCCTGGCGAGTGCCGGTCAAACTCCGGTGAACCTGGGGCAACTGCTGAACGTGTGCGCCACCAACGCACTAGGGCGGGTGATGGTGGGGAGGAGGGTGTTCGGTGACGGAACGGATGCGAAGTCGGACGAGTTCAAGCAGATGGTGGTGGAGCTGATGGTGCTGGCGGGTGTTTTCAACATCGGTGATTTTATCCCAGCCCTTGATTGCCTTGACTTGCAAGGCGTGGCTTCTAAGATGAAGAAGTTGCACGCTAGGTTCGATTCATTCTTGACTGCCATCATCGAGGATCACAACATCAACGGTGCTGATCAATCAAATTGTGGTGGGTCCCAGAAGCACACCGACTTGTTGAGCACCTTGATTTCGCTTAAGAATCAGGTTGATGACGAGGGAGGAAAGCTTACCGACACAGAAATCAAAGCCTTGCTTTTGGTAATTTACTTATCCCCACTCGTCCTTTATTTATGGATAAAGTATAATAATAATAATATTCCTGTTACATAAAAAGAATCTGCAAAAAAACACATTCCTCTTCGTGTCTCTTACTGTTAAAAATATTTGCAAATTGTCTTATAATATCAGTTGACCTAATTTTGATAATTTTTTATTTATTAAAACTTCAAAATATCCTTAATACCCGAACTTTTAGTATTATAGTAATAATAATAATAATAATAATATTATACAAAAATTATCTAAAAAAAACATTTCAAATTATTAGTAAATGCCAAGTTCAAGTCCTGAAAAACCTATCGCGTCTTAACCCGCGCTATACCTGATTTTATGAGTTTTTCGAAATTTCGAGTCATCCCAAATTTTAATAACCGACTAACAGATAAGTATTAAAATAAAATAAAATGTTATATTCATTGGCCTAAATGGTCGAAAGGTGCAACAAATATCAACCAAACTATATTTAATATGATCTTATAGTAAAAATATGACCTCTTATGATGAATCGATGGTCGATAATACTATAAATAATCTAATTTTAAATATAAAATTTATAAGCTATTCTTATATTTCAAGTTCTTTGGAATTTCGGATTACTAAAATCTTTGTCTAATTTCCGTTTAAAATTTAAACTCAGTTTTATCCCACAATTTTAAGTACCTTACCATTTTTATAAAATTTTTGATCGAGAATCGAGTTGCTAGGTTAGTCCCACCCATGATGTCTCACTCCATATCACAGACACCAGTTTAATAAAGGCAGTCTAAGGCCTACCTCTGAGTTTATTGTAGTTCAAAATTTGGGATCCTTTGCAATTACATACATTTCCTTTTCATAGGCTGAGATAATAAATAAGTCAACAACTTTATGTATGTCTATAAGAATACATATATGTGTGTGTATAAATTTAAGCAAATTGTCCTCTATCAAGAGATCTAAGTTGGGGACCAACACAGAGAGACAGAGGGACCATTCTTTGGTAGCTGTAGACTGGTAGTTTGGACTCACTTCAATTATAAACCTTCTCAATCTCAACTACATCACTATGTATGCCACCCCATTTGTGGTGAAAAAACAAACACTCTTAACACCTACTATTGTGTGAGAAAAGACACAGTGGGAACATATTATATTGACAAAGTACTGTATTGTTTTAAGACTCAAAACGAAACAGCTCAACTTTTTAGAAAAGTGATTTATACAAATATAAATATACTTAGAAATACTCTCTTTATAGTGTGAATAAAAAATTTATCCGTATCAAATATGGTGATGGTTGAATATGATTGTTATATATTTTTTAGATTCTCGAGCGAAAAATTATCCCTATAATATGCATATGGATAGTATAACCCCACTATACATTCTGAAAAATTCTTAAGATTTAATTTTTGAGCAAACAAGAACCTGAATAATGAAAAGACTAAAATGAACCTCTTTTTTTTAATTATTTTTTATTATTTATTTATATATATAAGGGCATTATTGGAAGAGAAATAAGTATTTTAGGAATTTTATATCTTAAAAATGTTGTACATGACTAAATTTATAATCAAACAGTGACCTCAAGCTCTTCTTTGATCATTTTTCAAGATTAATGCACTTACATACAAAAAAAAAAAAAAAAACAAATCTTAGGGGTGATTTTTGCCCAGCATTTAAACATTCGTGGTGTTTTTCTTCTTTGCCCCCTTTTTTTATTTTTATAATCATCTTTTTTACACTTAAATTATAATAAGCTGTTATCATATTTGGTGTAATTTTTTATTTTATTTTTCCTCATAATGAACAAGAGATTATTACTCATATATATATATATATATATATATATATATATATATATAAAAGATGAAACTAGAATCATGTGTGATGCTAATTAATTTACAAATTTTTGGTCCCTAATTTTTTTTCTTTTTTTCTTTTTTCTTTTTGTGGTTTCTTAATGCTATTCCTGGATCTTTCTAAGTTGCTGATCAAATTATTGACAGGACTTATTCACGGCAGGGACTGACACGTCATCTAGTACAGTGGAATGGGCCATAGCAGAACTTATCCGCCATCCAAAAATCCTAGCCCAAGCCCAAAAAGAACTGGACTCGGTGGTTGGGCCAGACCGGCTTGTAACCGAGTCCGACCTAGCCCAACTAACCTTCTTCCAAGCCATTATAAAGGAAACCTTCAGGCTCCACCCATCTACTCCACTCTCCCTGCCACGAATGGCAGCCGAAAGCTGTGAAATCAATGGCTACCACATTCCGAAGGGGTCAACACTTCTCGTTAACGTGTGGGCCATAGCCCGTGACCCGGATGTATGGTCCGATCCATTGGAATTCAAGCCCGACCGATTCTTACCCGGTGGTGAAAAGCCTAATGCTGATGTTAGAGGAAATGATTTTGAAGTCATACCTTTTGGTGCGGGCCGGAGAATATGTGCCGGGATGAGCTTGGGCCTCCGGATGGTCCAATTACTGACCGCAACCCTAGTTCATGCCTTCGATTGGAAGTTGGCCGAGGGTCAATTGGCCGAGAAGCTGAACATGGATGAAGCCTATGGACTGACCTTACAGCGAGCCATTCCATTAATGGTGCACCCACAACCCAGGCTAGCGGCCCATCTGTACGGGCCCTAGGGACCTTATCAATTGAATTATGTTCTGTATGTTACCTTTATATATATATATATATATATATATATATACATATAAATTAGGGGCGGGGAATTGAACACGGGAATACTCGGGAGGTACACCTGTGTTTGCAAAACTTGGTAGTATTTTAATATATGTCATATCTTGACTTTTGTTCCATCCCTTTCACTAAACCAAACAAAATAAGTGAAGAACGCCTTCCTTTTCTCGGCTTATCTATTCTATTTCATCTATTTCTGCATACTTTTGTCCAAACCCACCCTCAGCATGCAGTTAACATAAATTAATATATGTTGTACATTTACTATTTATATCGAGGTGTATATATTTTCTTTTCTTTGCCAATTTGTGTCCAACAAAAAGATAAAAAAGAAGAAGATGAAGTATGGTTATTAATTTCTGTTTTATTTATTATTATTTTTTTTTTAAAAATGAAGCGATTTTAATTGAGTTTTAAGACGTTAGAGGAGTGCTAGAGGCCTAACGCGACTGTCGCTCCATAGTCACTATTGTGATTAGTTGCTCATTAATTGGGTCTTTTCTATTTTTACTAGCATAACATTTTAAAGAAAAAACTAACCTTTCAATATCTGATGAACCAAGAGGGGGAGGGGGGGTGAATTGGTTTTACTTCTTTTCTTTAAAACACTCAGACACTTTTCACAATCAAATATAACACAACAACAATCTTAAACCATTCACAGATCAAACCATGTTCATGAACCCTAGTCTGTTACAAGTGTTTGATAAAACTTCACAGCCACAAAGATACAAGGTTGTTACAAGGAAAATCCTTTACCCAAAAATCAATTGATATACACTCAGCTGTCTCACATGGGAAGAACTAGTAATGGGCTAACCTGGGCCCAGGTCCAATTGAAAAAAAAAAAAATAGTACTATTGTTCCTATAAGTCCATGTATAACTCTTCCTCTTCCTATTAGCCCAACCCAACCCATAGTAGTTATAAAATTTACAAAGGTCAAACCTTAAATATGAGTAAGTCCACGAATCATGGATATGTTCAATCACAAAATAAACCATAATAAAATATAATATAACCCAACCCAGTGAATCAAACACATTGTTAGTTTATGGAAGAAGACCTAAACTCTTCGTGTGTAAGGTACTAAGGCATATGTGGATGAATATCATGGATTATTATTGTTAACACAGTGAAATATTGAATTTTATTTTTGTAATGTAGGGGGGGGGGGGGGGGGGGAGCTTTGTTGATGACTTGATAATTTATTGTTAAATTGGGTAATTTATTATATTATAGATTAATAACTAGTCAGGGGCGAAGTATATAGGTCTTACTTTTTAATTTGAATTTATTGATAAGGAACATATATATCTGGCATTCTTTTAGCTGTTTGTTTTAATACTTATATGAAGCGAACTTCAATGGGTTCTTAACTGTGAAAATACGTTAGAGTTTAGAAGTGTAAATGTGTTAGAAGGTTGTAGATTATTGGGTTTAACTGAATAATTGATGCATGATAATTATGTATTTAAAGCATGGATGACACACTAAGCAATTATGGGTTTATTTATTTTTAGCCCTCTCTACTTTGCAATCCTTGCTCCGCCCTTACTGTCACACCCTAGTTAACATTGTGCACACAACACTCCCCTTGTCTTAAGTACCCCTGCTTAGACTAATATAGTTCTCACAACTCTTCAAATACATGATAAAACATGAATAAACATCTTACAATAGCTGTTACATGCAAGAAATTAATCAAAATGAATACACAGCTACAAGATGAAAACAATACAAAAGTACTTGAACGATTTATGCGGAAATGAGGTTTGAGTACTCAAAATGAAATGCAGCTTCAATAGAGACCCAAACTTGATTCCCATAACCTTATCTCGCCAAAATATACTTGTTCAGATGATGAACATGATGAATATAGCAAGGTATATCAATATGAACTCAATACAAGGCTTATTTTTTGCAGGATACACAAACTGGCTAGGTTTGAAGGTTCAAATCCAGAAATGACCAAGGCACAATTGAAATCTCAAATTACACAGCCTCAAAATGATAAAGTAAACTTGCTCAGATAATAAACATAATAGTCACAGCAAGATATCAATATATAGTACTCAAATCAGAAGCTATGCATCAGAAAATACACAAAAATTGAGGTTTGAGAGGTCAAAAGCTACTACAATGAAAATATGAACTATAACTTGGTTTTTGCAGATGTAAAATGTCATATCTAGGAACTCTGGAAATGCCTCACCACACATGTGACCCCTTGAACTAGCATCTTGCACCAAAAAACCAGTTTCACAAGGCCTTGTACTTGATCTTCATATGAATACACTCACAATATAGTTTTCTGAGATGAATTTCAGTTCACTCAATTGATCAAAACTCATAAATACTTATGTTCATTTGTTTCTCGAGTGTCTTACACAATGTAGCTCACAACAAGGACGGATCTATGTACAAGTTAGTGGGGGCAATTGTTCCCACCGAATTTTTTTAATTTTAGTAATATATCCCTTCTATTTTATTTATTTTGATATATATATTTATAAAATTACACAATCACTCCCACTAAAATTATTAAAAAATTACACTATCATCCCCTCTCACACAATTTCCTGACTCTGTCTCTGGCTCACAAACAAGGTCACAAAGGCTCACAAGAGGCACACACACAAAGTTGCTATCATAGTGGTACATTGTGTGCTTATGCAACCCTAAAAGTGGATAGAATTGTGCTACAATCCACCAAATCAACGAAGAGGAGAATATTATGAAATTCCATGTGTGAAAGGATAAATTTACCCCGGCGAAAGCAGCCTTTTTTGTCTTGTAGTGCAATATATATCAGAATACATATATGTACAGGTTTGTGATACAAATTCTAACTTGTTGCCAAAGAATGGTGCAACTGTTATAGAATTCTCTTTGAAGGACCACATTACACGTGTCAAGCATGTGTACTACTCACACACAAAATTACAGATTTGCCCCTAGAAGGACAGATGTCATTGTAAAACAGAATTGTGACTTGTTCAACCTACAACAATGGTCTGTAATATAATGTACCTTCTTCATCAATGAATTTTAAATGAGGTCACACAAACAGGAAATTACTATACTGCCGCCGAAGATGCCAGAAATGATTTATGCAAACCAGAACTTGTAAAACACAACAGAAATGGACATGTGAGCATACTTTTGACATTGTAAAGGCAAACCATAAAATAAAAGCTGGGACCAACATTATCCATCTCTTTCATTGGCCTTTCTTCACATGCGTAAATAAATTACCAACTTGAATGGATTCTTCCTTTTTTTCTTTTTCTTTTTCAACTGTCATTGTTTTTATACAGATATATAAATATGTATATATATACATACACAAACATACAGAAAATGTGGGTTTTCATGGTTATAAGTTTTAGTTGAATTAAAATTATAGAATTGAATTTTAGTTAAAGTAAAATTGTGCGAGAGAAATAGAGATGGGGATGGATTGTAAAGAAAGATACAGAGGTGAAGTGGTGATGTCATCGTAGCAAAGGATAGATGATAGCAAGTGATATAATAAATATTAAAAACTTGGAAATTGAAAGTAAAAAAGCGTAAAATGACTGGAGGAAAAGTTATTCTCTGTGCTTAGGATGAAAATTTTAAACAATGCTAATTTATAACTGAAAATTTAAAAGAAAATAGACCCCTCTTAAGAATTTTTTAGTCAAAAGCTTGATTCTAAGTGTAAAAGGCTATCCAGATGGATGAATATAATAAAGTATACTCTCCTAAACAATAGAATTCCTCTAACATAGTTAAAGCATCAATACAATAAAGTACGGAATATATCACAATCATACTTTATTTTAATCTTCTTTTTGTGAAGCCCTTGTGGTTGAAATTTTGTAAAAGGTAATCACTAAATAACAATGTAAAATTATGGATAAGCAATATAAAATCACATGGCGCAGTACAGAAGAAAATCCGAATTCTTCTAAAGACTCATTTAACAACCGTTTTTTGTGATTTCTATTGCAGAATGAGCAATACCATAGCAACCCTTTGTATTCTTCAACTACCTTTTTTTTCATACTATAAATACCCCCACTAATGCTCTTCTTCTTCATGAATTGCTTCATTACATTACATTATTTGATCTACATTTTGTTGTGATATATATATATTTATAGACACACACACTTGTATTTCAGAGTTGAAGCAAGACATCATGTACAACTGATTTTGGGTTTGTTTATTACTTTCATGTTTATTATAATTTTTTCAACCTTATTAAGTGTTTTATCTGTTGTAAGCCTTAATAAATGTTACTGAGGAATTGTTCATTTTTGGTTGTAATTGTTATAATGACATTTAGGCTCCGTTTCTTTGGACGTAAAATATTTTTTTTGAAAAATATTATTTTTTTGAGGTAAAATATTCTTTTATTTTTACTTTGTTGATGTTTGGCAAATGTCTACATTAAGGTTGAGTCCATCCGACTAGGCATGTAAAATAACTTGCCGAAAATTTTATGAATAAATTATATTTATTAAATTTTAATATTTTTTTCTTGACAAACAAACACCAAAAAAATAAAAAATAAAAATTTTAAAAAATATCTTACGTCCAAATAAACGGAAGCTTATTTTTTTTTGTAAGTTGTAGACATTATCTTTGTGGTTTTTATGGTTTACTTTTGACTATTTGTCACTGTCCATATGAACTAATTCGAAAGTGAAAAAACTACGATGGCTACCATTATTCCCAATTTTCACTATTATACTTATAATGTGTTATGAATAAGATGGGTTTTTGGATATATTTAATTGTTGATACATATTCGAACAAAGTTTTGCAATTGTTACACATGCATTATTTGAACGACCAGATGGACTAATTTGAAAGTGAATAGCGATTATTCCTAAAAATCACTATTATACTTGTAATATTTTAGGCATAAATATAGAATTTTTATGCATTTCATTGTTCAACCATTTAGAACACGTATGAGGATATGCTACTCTTACACATGGGGATGATTCAATTCAACTCTACTTGTGTGTGTAATATATATATATATATTGCATTGTATGCTAGTAACATGTTAGGTTAAATAATGTTATTTTGTATGATTTCATTAATCAGCCATGTTATCTAACACACAGTTGGGCACAATTTTTAGATCGATAAGAAGGTGTTCAAACCAATACAAGCAAGATTTTGACATGGAATTGCCTTATTTCGACATGTGATTTTATATTGCTTATCATACACTTTTGGGAATTATTCAATTAAATTAAGTTATTCCATTTTATTTTGCATTGTTTATGTTTAACATGTATGTAAAAATTTAGCATTTTGTTTGTATTTCATTGCAGATACATGTTAAAACAAAGCTGGGACGTGCAACTGCAGCTACTCTTTCGTGGTCATTGGGGTTCCAAAGAATTGAAAATTTGGAATTTCAGTTTTTTCATTTTCTTTTGGCATTTTCTACTTGTAACATGATAGGCTAATGATGGGAATTTGTTTGCATTTCATGGCTGATACATTATGTTGACTTATGTTGTAGGTTTATTATTTAAGTCCTTCGTATATGTGTTGAAATAATTAATATTGAAGACAACAAACGCTTTAGTTCTAGAACCAGGTGTTATAAAATGGAAACCAAAGTTTGCAAGGGAATTTAATACCGAATAATAGGCATACGATTTTTACAATGTATAAGTGGGTAGAGTTGAATTCAGTATCGAGATGGAGTATTTTGATAATAGTCGTAATAGTGGAATAATTACATTGATGTTGTTTGTTTGTTGCAAGGAGGGTGTTAGGGTGAAGAACAAAAGGGATATATTAACAAAGATTATCCGGGCTAAAACAAGAACCGGTTGCAGTACACGAATGCACATTAAATATAATGTCTCCAAGGAAAAATGGTTTGTTTATGATTTTGTAGAAACTCAAAACCATCGGTTAACATTGATGAATGCACCCACATGGTGCCACCGGCAGCGAAGAATTTCTACAGTCCTGACCATTGAGGTGGAATTGGCTTAAGATTCAAGAATTGTGGCTTGTAATTTATATGAGTTAATGGGAAGGGAAGCTGGTGGCAAACAATTAATTGGCAACATTAAGTTGGATCGACAAAATTATATAAAGACCCGAAGACAAAATGAGATTCAATATGGAGAGGCAGGATGACTTATCAATTATTTTATGATTCACACTTTTTTTTTTCTTAGTTGGTACTCATACACCGTCCTCTAAGGAATTGTTTACACTTAACAGAAATCGATCCTAAGACCTGACACCAAGACCCTGATCTTTTCCAACTGGACCAACCCCTTGAAATTTGTGATTCAACACTTTTAAAGGTCCTTCATTCTTCCATGCCAAAAGTTGATACAATTTGTTTACCCAAAAGTTAGTTTGTCAAAATCCCCAACCGGTTGATTGTGTTTTAATTCAATTCTGAAGCTATTACAGATTCAAAGAGATGTCCTCTAATGTTTTCATACTTTATTTTTAATATTTTTAAGGATTCTCTTACTTATAAATACTCAGCTTGACAAACTTACACAAGCTATATTATTGAATATTTTGTGAGCTTCTGAGAGAAAAAATAAGTTGAGAAGTTTTTGAATTTCTTTCCTTTTATTTTGAGCATTCACATTGAGTGTTTAGTGTAATGCCCTATATCTGATCAAACGGTTTTACATACAAACTTGAGTTTCTTTATTTTTATTTTGAGCATTCACATTGAGTGTTTAGTGTAATGCCCAATATCTGATCAAGTAATATAATAAGTTTACTTTACTCAAAAAAAAAAAAAAAAATGAGTTGGGTGTTGCCGATTAACATATAAGTACTGAACTTTTCTATAGCATAAAAGCACTTTCATTTAAAAAATTACATTTAGATATGTTCGGTAATCAATATAAGAGCTTTTAAGGTTTTAAAACTGCATTTTGAGTGACGATTGAATATTTTAAATTACTTTTTTTCATTACACAATTTTGTCATTTTTATTTTTTACATAGACAATTAACACTCCTTTGTTAATGAAGTTGTTATTATCAAACATAATAACATAATGTTAAAGGATATTATTATAAAATTAACAATATAAGTGTTTTAAAAAAACCTATTACCAACTAAATTAAAAAATAATTTAATTGTAAAAAGTCATAAGGCTTTTTATTAACCGCAATTTTTTGACAGCTTTATTGATAAAAGCTTACGCGATAATAAAATATGGACACCACATTAAAAAAACAATTGCCCTTAAAATAAGTAAAAATTCAAGTGAGAGAGACCTCATTATCACCCAACCCATAAAATTAAGAAAAGCTTCGAAGAATTTTTCATTTTATGATTAACATTTAAATTACAGCTCTTAATATTTTCAGTAGTTTTATCAAACCGAACTTTACCCTATAATTTTAATATATCTAGGGCAAAACTTGATTGGTCGTAGGCAGTGTCCCGTTGCCTTGATGCAGTTGGTTGAGGACATCCAGCTCTGGCTAGAGCAGAGTGGCGATTCTCAGTTCAGTTCAGTTCAGTTCAGCTAGTGTGCGACTCAAATATCATATTTGAGTTCATGTTAGGAGAAAGGCTGGATGCGGTACAGCAAAAACTCACAATTTCCATGTAAATTTTAGCTTCTGAATTGCAGGATTTGTATCTGTCTGGATCCGAAACGATTGCTCAAATCCCAGCTTTGAATTGCTACGATTCAAGGAGTTCTTCGATGGAGTGTTCTTGTTCAAAACCGAGATAACAATCTGATACAAGGATAAGCTTCATCCCCTGGCAAACACAACACCATCACCGGTTGAGATAAGAGCTGGAAAACATGTCTGGTTTTAAAAAAGTGATTGCATACTGACCTCAATGGCGGTTGGAGCGGATGGTAAGTCCATCTGGGTGATCAAACGGCCCGAGAATGAAACTCTCTTCAGAACATATAGTTCAGCGGTGGAGGTATTGCAAAGAACCAACCACCAAGCTTCATCTTTTACCTGTTAAGAGGAAAACATATCTAAGTTAGTCTTGCTACTGACAGGAGCTGGAATAAGTTTGAATCTTATACCTTTGGGAATCGAGGGGTAAAAGCTCTTGATGTCCTTCGCCGGGAGTTTGTATATTCCAATCTAATGTTCAGAGTTAATTTCCCACCCTCATGGTCCTTTCTCTCAAGTTTTAATCTCACTTGAACACGAGAAAAAAGCTGCAGATCCTGAAAAAATAAGAACTCAACTACTGAAATCATTATAAAAGTCATTTGCAGGGAATAAACCAAGCAGGTACACATTGCATCCATGTTACTGTGTAGGCAATATCAAAAAATAATGCTCATAAACTTAAAATATCGTAACAGACTTGACAGTTAGGGAAGAGAGATGAATTTCAAGCAACAAAACAAGTTAAAGGTATATTTTCATTTCTTCAGAAATTTTAGGAAATTCAAGAGTATCCAAGTGGCAGGAGTTGAATAAAAATCTTGATAAACAAACAAATTATCCAACCAAAACCATTCTTTTAAGAATTTCTATCACTTCCTGATTTTATTTTGTCATTGCTTCAATCTGTATAAATTGTGTTATGCCCACCGACTTGTCTAAACACAAATACTATGTCAAAAATTGAAAAACAGACGATTACATTTTAAATGCATGCATTAAAAACTTCAAAAATTGAAACATGATAAGATTACATATATTATAAATATCAACGCACTCATGTAGCAAAAATGCAAATGTTAAGATGGATGGTCGGAATGACTAGAAGAGATGGGGTTACTAATGATAGTGTAATAAAAAACTTAGGAGTGGCACCCATTAGTGAGAAAATAAGAGAGAGTAGACTTAGATGGTATGAACATATACAACGAAGACCTATAGATGCACCAGTAAGAAGACGAAGATTAGTTTCTATAGAAGGTAAGAGACAGAGAGGCAACCAAAATAAACGTGGAATAAAGTTATTAGAAATTAATTTAAAAAGTTAAATGTAATAGGTGTGATGGCGTGTAATAGAAAAGAATGGAAAAAGAAAAGTCATGTCGCCAATTCCATTCATAAGGAATTAAGGCAAGGATGATGATGACGCGATTATATATTCAGGCACTCCAAAAAGCGCAAGGTACTTTTTACATGGATTTGTGTTTATGTTTGCCACTGTGTGTCTGCATATTTATTTATATGTGTATACTAAGTACAATGTAGGCCGTTAGACAAGGATATTTATATAATACAGGCAAAATATTCCTTTTTTGTATACCGTTTAGTACAATACAGAAAAATGAATTCTTAGTTTACTTCCTTCGATTATTTAATGAAATCAAAAGATATCCCTTTTCTTTGTTAAATTTTTTGAACATATTTACTACTTTGCCCAGACTAAAATCCAAACCAGCACAAACCAACTCTAAAACATGATCAACCATCTAATAATTTTTTTGGCTAAGGAGTGACATTCACTAATGTGCAGAATAGGGCTAATGATCAACCATCTAAAGCATTCCAGCTAAAATCCTAGCCATTAGCTGCTTGTAATCCACATACAGGCATATGTCATTGAATCATTTCATATGTCAAACAAGTTATTTGATCTACCCTATGGATACGGTTTTTCATTCAGTCTCCTAAATGAGGATTGCTTGAATTTTCTCCATTGGCAGGAGCAATTAAAAAACTTGATATATCCTTAAGTAAATGGTGTGAGGCTAACACCCCAAGATACAGCGTTTATACAGCCAGCTCAGGAAGCTTCAAACAATGAACTGCTCAGCCTCATAATTTCACAAACTGGACATTTTTTTTTATTGTTGTCCCACTAAATATGGTTCCATAATGTAACTGCGGAAGTTTGATACTTTCATCAACATGGAAAGAGCTAAAAGATTGAAAGTCACCCTTTTCTTTTTCACTCGGATGAAAAAGATGCAGACACATATAATTAGGTAATGCATGAAATTAAACAAATTTTAATATCTCAGACAACAGCCTGCACCTGATATAATCTTGAAGCAGTTGAACTTCCAAGGACAGCCTGCAAAGTCGCTTTAGGAAGATCCAATAGTTGCTGGACATTTTGAGATCTTCTTTTAGTTAACGAATCCACAAGATCATCAGTCATGCATGGTAACATCCATAGAGCAGAATCCTTGGCGAACCATAAACCCTGAAAATAAACGGACAAAGTTATTAAAGAGGATGTTTGAGGAGATTTAACAAATTAAACCGATATAAAAAAGTAGACTTCCTAGTAGAGACGACTTCAATCTTTTGAATCCTTAAAAAACAAAAAGAAGAAGAAAAAGAACAGAAAATAAAAAGAAAGACCTTTGATCAGTGCAGACACTCCTCAGGAAAATTGGTACAGTAACGACAGTTATGGCTGTTTGGGGCGTGTTGAAGGATATAAATATTAAAGTTGCACCCTCTAACAGCTTAATCTTTTGGAGTAGATGGTAGTTGACATGATATCAGAGCCAAAGGTTTTGAGTTCAAACCTCACCGTCATCCTAATTAAAAAACACGTGTTAGACCAAAAAGAAGGCCACACTGAAGCTTTTGGTGTGAGAATTTTTATTGGACCCAAAATATTAGAAGGGAGCAAGTGGTATTGAGTATAGACGAGAATCACTTGTGGAGGATCAGTGCACACTTTGACCATCATTCTCTTAGGTGATACGTCTCAGATCTGTGTCATATGGCCAATCCTATAATGTATAGCTGTTGGCACGCATGACAAGGGTATGGGCGGGGATGTGTGTCCCACACACGAACCCAAATCGGACACCTGTATTCTCTAATTTTGATGATGAAAAAAGAACCAAAGCTCAAACTTGATCGCAAAGAAGTTCCTACTTCGGTCTCGTTTTTTTTAACCATATTTAGTTTAATTTCAATTACTATTGAGTAAAATTTTAAAGAACAATATAATCACATGTTACACTTTTATGAAGCAGAATACTTATAAGTGTCTAAGATGTGTCCACATACCAGTATCCAAGTTTTTAACACATTTCAAGCTGAGTTCATCAATCCTAGAATTTGAAATTTAGGGAGGTCTAACACACATACCCACATCCAATACATTTACCCGAGTCAAGGAAACATATACCTCTACATAAAGAGAACCCTTAAGAAATCAAATTCACCAAAGTAAGAAAACCCAAGTGAACCATATGTTTCAAATAAAAAAGAACCAAAGTTGACGGTATTTAAGCTAGTATGCAGCTGGTATAGTCTGATATTTGTTTTTGTTAGCCAAGATATGACAGCCACAAATCATGGGATGTGGCTACCGATATTAGCTGGAGATATGATAGCCTTAAATCACGGAGTTTGACTTTATTTATGCATATATAGGCATAGAATCTGAAATGATTCTATTTAGTTTCCTTTCCTATAATATTAACATGTGCTCTTTTTCTACATAAATACTAGAGCTGCAAATGCCTAATTTATCTAATTCAAGCATTTACACTTCCTATTCCTTCTATCTTGTATTTCTTCTTGGTATCAGAGCCAACACCATTACACACACTCCAGCTGCCTGCAGATGTTTCTGTGTGTTCCTGTTTTGTGATCAAAAGCAGGTAGAAGAGGAAGGCTCAGTGGGTTTGCCTGAGGCTGGAATAGACGTTTCTTCTGCGGCTGGAATAGATGTTTCTTCTGCGGGGTGCATTTCTTCTGCTGGAGGAAAATCACCGTAAAAGGATTCATCTAGAATTGTGTCAGAAACACGTTTTCGTCGATGAGTAGAAGAAGGAAAAGGCTGTGGATCAGCCTGAATTTCTTCATCTATGGATTCAGAATCTGAGTACTGATCAGAGAAAACATGTATTTGTTCTTCGGATTCAGTATCACTGTCAGATATACGAAAATTATATCCCAAGTGTGTAAGGAGATCTTCGTATTGTAAAGAAGTTTCTCGAATCTGGTTGATGATATGAGTGCTTTCGTCAAGAGATAATTGAGGATTAATGTATAATTCCTGTAAACATTGAAGATAATCGACGATGTTATCATATTCAGCTTTGGTGAAGCTTGATGAAGGGTGTTCCTTTAAGACTTTAAGAACTTCATTACCATAAAAAAGAGGTTTAACCTTATATATGGTACGATCAGTAGGCTTGTGGCCTTCGGTATGAAGAAAGGATGAAGCAACTGGAGGTATAGTATTGCTGTCTTTCTCATCAGGAGGATCACCAGGAGGTGGGTATAGATCAGACAACTTAGCTTTCTTTAGTTTGGCTAGATCGATAGTCATCTGATGAATCTGATCTTTTAGATCTTGATTTTCATGATTGCATGATAAAGATATAATCTGTGTAAGAGTTTCAAGCTTATCATTCAACGAGATCATTCCTTGTTGCAAATCTTCAAATGAGGTGTCCATTTGAGAGTTTAATAGAGTAAGGTTACTTTGGAAGGTGTATTTCCAATCATTAACCATATCGACAAGGAAATTCATTCCTGCTCCAATTTGGGTAAAATTGGGTGGATCTGAAGTTAAAAAATGTGGAATATGAGTATAGTTATTAGGGTCTTTTCCTACAATATTACAGATACAATTAACAGAAGTAGTTTGTGCCATAAGAAACAGTTAAGGGTTCTTAAGACCTTTTGACCATTGTTATGGTGCCTAAAACCGTAGGTTCCTGTAGCAAAGCTTTAACTAGTCGTACAGACAAACAAGCTAATACAGGGAAATATGGGCTTTAAACAGTAATCAAACATATGAGATTTATAACAGTAATTAAAGCACAAAACTAAAACTGAAATAATACTGAAATATATGAAGGAAATCTTACAATAGTAGTCCAAGCTCGAGATACGGCTCTAATACCAATTACAGATAAGTGCGGAAAAATATAAAAACTTAGAATGTTTTACAAGAGAGAGAGAAATTAAGAAAAGCTTTTCAACTTCAGATACCGAAACCATTATGGAGTCTCGGTTTAAATAGCATTACAAAAGGTAAACAGTTCCGGAGAAGATAAGAATGAATCTTTTCTTTTACTGTTTGGAAAAGTGGATGTCAGCAATAAAGCCCATATTTCCCTGTATTAGCTTGTTTGTCTGTACGACTGGTTAAAGCTTTGCTACAGGAACCTACGGTTTTAGGCACCATAACAGTGGTCAAATTTTATTTGCCAAAAACCTGCTTTGCAATCAAACTTACTGAAGAGTTTTGCTCCACGAGTTTGATTTATGAGAACATCTTTTCGAGGAATAAAATATCCATCAAAAATTAAATGTTCATTAAGCCTTTTATAGTTTATTACCATGCGGGCTTTACCGCGCTTTACCTCACTATGGTTTCTAACCATGAAAGCGGGGCTGCTATGAGGACTTGTAGTACGTTCAATGAGCTTCTTGTCAAGAAGATCTTGAAGTTGATCATCAAATTCGTCGATATCTTTTCGGAGATAGATCATGGGTTTGACACGAATGATGATGTTATCGTCTTTGAGTTTGAGGCTGCAAAAACGAGGACTCCTTTGCCATAAATGTAAAGGATTAGCAGAAAATTTTTGTCTTAAAAGAGTATACAACCAGTGAGTTTCGTCTAAGACAAAAATATCATTTGTTTCACGTTTTGGAGGTGAAAACATATCATTACAAACAGAAGCTAAATTTTCTTGAATTAAAATTTCAACAACTGTTTTGTCTTTTAAAGTTAAAGAAATGGTTTTTTCATTTAACTGTAAAGGAAGATAGCTGTAAATAAAGTTACATCCGAGAATAAAATCACCATGCATATATGGGAAGCAGAGTAATTTTGGGATAATGAATTTTTTATCAGTTAACCAAATATCAATATCTTTTGCTTTGAATTGAATAACATTCATGCGTGCTTCAGCATCAATACCTTGTACTCCAATGGGATGTTTCATTTGGCGCCATTTTTCGGATGGAATGGCATTGTATCGGCAACAACTAGTAGTTGCACCAGTATCAATAAGAACACAAAGGCTATATGGTTTATAACCTTTGAAATTAAGTATACCATTGACATAGGTGTACTTGCGTTTTTTCCCCTGAGAAGGAGCAATCAGAAGTTCTTCATTTCCTTTTCGAAAATGGTAAAATTGAGCAGACTTCGTAGTGGATCCAGGGAGAAAAGGTGCATCGACTAGAGCTTTTCCTTTTTCTGCCCATGTAAACCTTCGTCGAGGAGGTCCGGCTAATGTAAGTGAGAACACTCCTAAAAAGGAAAAGGTAGATATTTGGACTTTTCAGGAATGGTTTGAGGAGACCATTTGATTAATTAACAAATTTTGTAGTGTTTTTTGGAATTGTTTATTGTCGTGTGACCGAGTATGGTAGATTCAGGGTCCGCCAAGTAACCAAGTTGCCACCAACAGTAGCCCGAAGTTAACCTCCTATCTAAAATTAATCCTGCATAATCAACATTTGTCCAAGTCCCAACACATAAGTGACAATGATTGGCAAACAAAATACCAAGGGCCGGATATCCCTTCAGGTAGCGAAGGATCCGAATAGCTGCATCAAGGTGAGGGGTACGAGGAAAGTGCATGAATTGATTCACGACACTCACGACATAAGCAATGTCATGTTGAGTCATGGATAAATAGATGAGCTTCCCAACAAGTCGTTGATACTGACGAACATCCGACGATAACTCTCCCTTAGAATCAACCAACTGATGATTATGCTCAATTGGAGTATTAACAAGACGAGCGCCAAGTTGGCCAAAAGCAAAAAGCATGCCAAGGACATACTTGCATTGAGAATTGAAATGCCAGTGTTGGAGCGAGCCACCTCAATGCCCAAGAAGTATCGAAGGAGACCAAGATCCTTAATCTACCTTAGCAATTACAATAGTATTACCAACGGTAAGAACAATATCATTGACATACACAATGCGGGCAACTATCTTACCACCTAAATGACGGAAGAACAAGGTATGATCAGCTGCACTCTGATGGAAACCAAATTGAAGCACAGCAGTGCCAAAGCGATTAGACCAAGCTCAAAGAGACTACTTGAGGCCATATTAGGAGCGAAGAAGACAACAGAACATATCGGAATGAGATAGAGCACGAAAGCCCCAAGGAGGAACCATATACACCACACATTCTTGACATCTAACTGAACCAAAGGCTAAGATCGAATCGCAGCAATGGAAAATAATACGCAGATGCC